ATTATTCTTTATTACCAAATCCGTGTATAAGAAAATTACTTTATTTAAAATACCTGTGAAGTATAAATGGAAATACAACTGTAATTTTAATTTCGATACTTTAAAGTATGAGAATTTTTTTTATTCAAGGCAACGCTTTCAATTTTTTTAAAGATGGCAATTTTTTTATACACGATAATCACAAAAAAGAAACATACCTTTTTTAACATTATTATTATTATTATTATTATTATTATTACATTGCTTATAATAGATTGCCTTATTTAAAATACCTATAAAGTAAAGATGGAAACACAATTATTTTTTGTCCAATACCATTTCAACATTCATTTTTTAACTTAAGTTTTTCATTGTCAATGTGTATTTATGATTCTTTCTTACCAAAACTATGTATAAGGAAATCACTTTATTTAAAATACCTATAAAGTATAAATGGAAACACGACTGTAATTTTAATTTCGATACTTTAAAGTATGAGGATAAATTTTTGTTAAGGTAACATTTTCATTTTGTTAAATACGATACCATAGTATTAAATAGTAAATCTTAATTAATTAAATAATAATATTAATGGAAAGTGTAATTACCTTTTAATGTGTTTTGTATTTAATATTATTTCATCCTCAAGACGGTGTATAAAGACTTTTGCACTAAAGTTCTGTGTATTAATGTTGTTTCTTAATATTTCTTTTATCAAATTATTCACATACAATGTTGCGTTTTTTATTATTCAAAGCGATGGAGCATTCATTTAAAATACATATTAATTTAAAAATGGCAAGATGATACCATACTATTAAATATTAATTAAAAATATTAATGAAAAGTTTAATTACCTTTTTAATCTACACTATATTTATTATTCTTTAATTTTTAAAATTGTGTATAAGGATTCCTGTTTTTTAAAAAAATTCTTATATGAATTAGAAATCACCCTAAATAGGACTAAAAGATAAAGAAAAGTACCAAAATAACACTTTCATGTTTTTTTCCCGAAATAGGACTTTGCACTGTGGTAATGTGACATTGTATATGTGCACATTACTATACTTTTTTGGTAATGTATATGACCATGTTTGGTAATGTAAGTCTTATTTGAAAAATAAAAACATGGAAGTCCTATTTTAGTATATTTTCAATGTTTTAATCGTACTTTGGTCTTTGTCCCTATGTTAATACAATGTATTAATACCGCTATTCAATTAGCGTATATAAGTGTATCCCATTAAAAAGGAAATTCGATTTTTCATTATTACTACTAGTATCACACGCACGGGTTATTTTTATGTTATTAAATTCAAATAATTTTTCAATGATAAAAAATAAGATGCAATAGAATATAGACGGTATTTATAGTATATAATTCTAATTTTTTTCCAAACCTGTGTGTATAATTATTCTTACTATAATTATATTTTACTATAAACATATATAGTTATTTTCTAAACTGTGTATATAATTATTCTTACTATAATTATACGGAGTATTATATTACCTACTCATAGGGGCGGATCTACATGTATGACTACGGGGGCAGTCGCCCCCAATCAATTTTTTTACTCTTTAATATACAGTATTTAAATAATTTTTTGTAGAGAATTAAAAGAACGATCTCGGTAAAAAATTAATTTGCCCCCACTAACAAAAGAAAACCTTAGTTTAAAAGTAAAATGTAATCACTTAAAAATATATACAGGTAAAATGTTGAAATATCATAATTATATTATGTTATGATATATTTTATATTTTATTTTTCTACTTTAAAAATAATTTTTTTTATTTGAATGATTGATTGAAATTAAATTTATTTATTTTTAATCATTATCAAATGCTTTAAAAAAATCGGGAGTGCCACCCCTGAACCCCACCATACTCTTTTGTGTATTTGCCCCAGTCATATCTTTTTCTGGATCCGCCACTATGGCTACTCACGCAGTTATACAATCATTACGTTGGTTAATTATTACCTTTTTTAAATTATTTCTAGTTTTAATAACGTAATAATAATGCTTTTAAATATTTTTTTGGGAAATTACCTTTCTTGCATGGAGTAATAATTCATGCACGAGTTAAAAATGACAGTTAATTATATAATTTTTTGGTTATTACCTTTCTTGGTAGCGTGCTTAAAAATCATACTTTGGTAGCGTGCTTAAAAATCATTTTATTATTTTTATTCACAACTATGCACAAACCATTTTTATATTACTATAATATTAAACACTTACCATTTATGTAGGTAATAATTGCACGGAGTAATAATTATTACATTTTTTTGTTATTACCTTTCTTGCTCTTAAACACACACACACACACACACACATATATATATCAGACACTTAAAAAATGACAGTTAATTATTATAAATATTCACAACCATACACTAACCATTTTTATATTACTATAATTTCAAACACTTACCATTTAATTTTAGAATTGCTATATGTAATGGTCATACTTCGTGCACGGGTTAAAAATGGACACTATAATTTCGATATTTATCATTTATATACTACCTCCGTCCCATTTTATAACGCCTGTTTCGGTTTACGTTGTTTGACTGAAATTATTTTCAAACCATTTTATATGACAAATGACATAGAATTAAAAAATAAAAATTACATATTAAAAAACTACATCAAAAGATCTACAAAACTAGTAGTGACAAGAATATTTTATTTTATCAAATTGCTAACGAAAATAGAGAAAGAAAGTGAATGAAGTTTGACCCTGTGAATAGTAAACAAACATTATAATTTGGGACGGAGGGAGTAGGTAATATTTGCACGGATTAATAATTATTACATTTTTTGCTAGTATAAATTTCGGACATTTTAAAAATGATAGTTAATTATTATAAATATAATATAATAATTATACTTACAAAACGTAAATTTTATATTACTATAATTTCGGATACTTACCATTTTAACTTCACATTACCATATGTAATGGACATACTTTTTGGGCGGAAAATGCAATATTGACTCCATGTCTTTTTAAATAAAGTATGGATTATTCATTATTCACATAACCGTGTTTCCTTTTTTATTACTCAATCACGGTGAAAAACACGGCACGAATTTGATGGAAAGAGTATTTTATTACTTACCAATTTATCAATGGAAAGTGTAATTTATTACTTACCAATTTAGCTTCACACATACTTAATGTAATGCCTACCACCGTTGGGCAGGAAACCACAAAGAGTATTTTTCATCTTTTTAAATAAAGCATGGATATATGACTCGAAAAATTTCTCTTGTATCGGAGCAAACTTTTATCAAATACAGAGTGGTTTTTAGTTTTCAATATTTTTAAAAATTTTGTGAAAAATAAATGTGTAAAATTTTTTTAGACGGAAAGAGTATGTATGAAAGTCTTTGTGTTAAATCGTCAATATATGAAAAATGTAAAATTTTACAGTCCACATTGAATTTTTTTTATTAATGACATGATTGGAAATTGGAAATTGAACTTCAAATTTAGATTTTGGATCAAATTTCATGTTTGAGAATCTTAGAAATTTGAATTTAGAATTGTGACAAATTCTTCTGCGCAACATTTGGGAACTAACATTTTATTTAAATTCTTACATTTCAATTCCAAAAATTGAATTCTTAAATTTCAAATGACAAGGAAATTTATATAAATTTTAAATTAAACTTTATTATGAATTTGAGAAATTTGTTTCAAATTCAAATTATTTTAAATTTCCCAAACATGGGAATTAAACCAAATCCGAATTTGACATTCAAATCTCAATTTTTAAACATGCCGCTAATTTATGACAAAGTTCAATTACAAACTTATACAACTCTGTTTGTAATTTAAAATTCAAAAATTTAAATTTTGAAATTGAAATGCAAAAATTGGAGTGAAATGCTAGTTCCCACTTCCCAAACACTACCTAAACAACTGCTAGGTGACTCTCCTTTAACCATTCACTTTCCAAGATGTGATATAATGAGGCAAAATGTTAAATTTCAAACATTACCTAAAGTAAATGTTAATTTTCAAATACTACCTAAACTATATGTGTGTTATTCTAGATAAGGCGTCAATTTCATATATGCATATCAGCAGGTTTTCAATTTACTGTTACTCGTAAATTTTGCCAATATTAAACTTGGAGGATAAACAAATATGGCGATAGAATTGAAAAATGTTTAGTCACAAAAATAAACTCATGAATTCACAAATGTTCATGACTCTCACATATTTTAACATTTCTTTTCTTTAACTTAGTGTTTATTACTCAGTATTCTTCAATATATATTTTTATTTTTTTTAAATTGGAAAAATAAATTAGGTGGGGTTATAACTTATAAGAATATGGTTTGCCTTCTTCCCACATATATTATCAACCTTCTCCCTACCATGTTTTTTTTTCTCCACAAGGGCTGAGCTGCATCAAGACTTGGACAGGGATGGCAACAAGAATACACCAACCTCTTCAAATCCTACAAGAAATAGGGCTTTGGATCCTAACTCCATATCCCACCATCTATATCTTGACACATAACCCACCCCGTCTAAGTTCAAACGACCTCCTATCCTACCACCTCTCATAGGTGGGTATATACTATTAATTTAGGAGTGGGGGTGGGTTTTGTGACAAAAAAAATGGATGGTGGGACAAAGAATTGGGATAGGGGCGAGGGAGCCAAAAAAAGTAGGGCTATCGCAATGTCCCCCAAACAAAGGACATTTCCCGATGAAAAACAGCAATTAACCTTGACACATATATGCTATCCCTCCCTGAAAGAAGTTTTCCTTTCGTTTTTTTTGTCCCCAAAAGAACTTCCCTTATCTATTAAAAAACCACTTTTACTCCTTACTTTTTCATATCCTACCTATCACATCATACCCTTTTACTAATAGTCTACATATCACATCTTACTTTTACCCATCACATCAAGGATAACTTTGGAAAGTCAACACAAAAAATATCTCTCCCTTGAATCCTCAAAAAGTCAAAAAAGGAACTTTTGGGGACAAAGTAGGTGAAATATTTATGCCATGTGAATATACTTGTCTTACCCAAGGAAAAAGACTTGATGCACACATATTTTACTAATACTAATACAAAGTAGGGTCCAGAACATAAAAGTTCAGATCATAGAAATCTGAGAGATTATTATCATTACACAACAAATAATACTCTAGCCGCCGGTGCATAAGAAATGCTCAGAATACCCTGGCACTGGGAACTAAACGTGTAACCGGTAACAAATCACGTATATGTACAAACAAACTAAGACTCAAGGGAAGGGAAGAACTAGAAGAGTTCCCTAGTCTTGAGATTGGTTCCCAGGTATGACAAGGGGTTCTCTGGTAGAGGACCCGTTGCCTGAGGCCCTGTCCTTCCAGATTCTCTCCACTTCATCGAACGTCAGGCCCTTTGTCTCGGGTACAAAAGCCACTACGAACCCAAAGGCAGCAACAGCCATACCGGCAAACATCAAGAATGTGGGGCCGGTGCCTATGGCTTCAGCCAATGACAGGAAACTCTCGGCCACTATGATGTTGGATATCCAGTTTACGGTGGCAGACATTCCTCCACAAATTCCTCGGTATGCTTCGGGGTAGATTTCTGAGCTCACGGTCCATGGAACGGGGCCCATGCCGGGGGCAAAGAAGGCAATGTAGAGAGCCAGACCTACGACTGCAACCCATCCGTACAGTCCAAAGGATGTGGAAGAAGAGGGTGCTAATAAGAAGGCTCCAGCAAGAACAACAAGGGAAACTATCACGCCGGATAAACTTGTCAGGACCAACTTTTTGCGACCGATGTGGTCTATGAGGTAGATTCCCAAGATTGTACCCACAGCGTTCATCAGTGCCACAATGAGTGAGATGAGTAACGCTAATTGGTTTGAACGGAATCCAGCCATTTGCACAATTGTTGGGCTGTAGTACATGACTGTATTGATGCCAGTCAACTGTTGGAATGCCTGTAAGCCAATTTTGACCATTTTATCGACTACTTGCATTCTGTAACCTAAAGATTGATGTGGAATGCAAAAGGAAGTGAATACTTTGGAATGGAATAAAATACCTGTAGTCCTGCTCCAGCAAAAAATGCGAGTCTAAGCTCTTTCGATCTGAAAACATCGGTGTACCTGACAGCTTTCTTTCTGAGGCGTTCATCCTCCAATGTGGTTGCTAGCTGATCAATCTCCTCCTCTAACCGATAAGGATCATAAATTTTAGAGAGAACAACAATAGCTTCGCGTTTATCCTTCTGCAATGATTTGGTTTTTTCTGGTTTGTCAGCATAATTAAGGGATGAATCCACATAAAAAAAACAATTCATATCACTCAAGTATTATGTACCTTCATATAGAGCCACCTTGGAGATTCAGGCATGAATAACATAAGACAGAACTGGACAATAGCTGGCACAGCAGACACTCCAAGCATCCATCTCCAAGTCCCTGGGACCTGCTAGGGGATTTTCAAAGGGAAAAAATTTTAACATCAATACTCAAATATTTCAAAACACTGTTTTTTACTAAGAGTGGCAAGTGGCTATACACATTCCATGGGCAGAAACAAGATTGCTTAGAATTTAAAAGATATAGTCACAAACCAAATGGTTATTCTATAAAACAATAAATAAATCCCGCACCAATCATTACAGATATAATCCAATTCAATCTCTCTTCTCTTTGAAATGCTTTGATTCAATTAACCCCACTTAGAGGGATAATATTTTTAAAGTAAACTGAATTTAACTCTGTCCCTCTAGGTTCTTCTTGTTTCGGATTACGATATCTGAGTGGAGTTAGTTTCAATTCAATTTATATGAATACTGGTGTAAGAATAAAAAAACAAAATTTACATATTTTAAAACTACTTCAAAAGATCTACAAAACAAGTAATGACAAGACTATTTTATTTTATCAAATAATCAATGAAAATAAAGTAGAGGGTGTGTGCCTGCTTTGCCTTATGTAGCTACTGTGATCCTTCTATATGTGCAGCGTGAGCCGGGGGTCCCTTGGAAAAAGCCTCTCTACTTTCGAGTAGGGGCAAGGTTTGTGTACACACACCCTTCGCAGATCCTACTTTCAATGGAACCAACTGGTTTGTTGTTGTATAATCAATGAAAATAGATAAAGAAAGTGAATAAAATTTGACATTGTGAATAGTAACTTGGAAGAACCTAGAGGAACGGAAGGAGTACTTGTTTTCTTTAAAACACATGCTGAAAGCAAACTGGCCTTATAATTGGGACACAGAGACTCAGAGAATATCTAGGATGATGTATAAAATGCAACCTAAAATAGCAGGTTTGCCTTAGAAAATAAAACAGCACTGAAATATATAGAATCCACATATTGTCATTGAATGTGGCAGTTGTCAGGAGCACATGCTAGGCAACTTTTATTTTCATTGAATGTTAACAATGTTCTACCAGAATTCAGGCAATCCTAGTTACTCCCTCTGTCTCCAAAAAAAACTTCCTATTTTCCTTTTCAGGACGTCCCAAATGGAACTTCTTTCTTTTTCTAGAAAGCTTTTTATGGCTCACCATCATTCTCTCTCTTTAGCATCATTCTCAACCACCCAATTTCACTTTTTTAAAAGTTTGTGTCAAACCCAAACAAGAAGTTTTTTTGGGACGGAGGGAGTATTTTTTTATGTTCAAATTAAGATTCACATAAAGGAAATGTTCATTTTCATATAAGAGTGAGCAAAAAATACAGCTACAAGCAATGATAATATCATAAAATCCATGCATAAGAGTGAGCATAAAATACAGTTACGAGCAATGACACTATCTTAAAACCCAGCAGAAAACAGAGCATGAGAGGAAAAACACTTTAAGTTTTCTTGGGAAAATATGTACACAAAATCTGTAGCAGGAGAAAACAAATAAGCCTTTTTATGAGTACATAGTTGGAGTCTTGGAGGTGAAGCTAATATCCAGCCTCAGCATAACAAACAAGGGTGAGGCTAAACTAACAGTTCATGAGATATTATGTGGGTATAACTTGTGAGAGAGAAGAAAGTGTAAAAGTTTGAGAATATTATAAAAGCACAATCCAGACAAAATTAGTGCATCTCTTTTTTCAGTTTTGAGACTCAAGTGTTTAAAACATGAACTATTCATACTTCTTTGGGTCTCTGACATGCAAATTATAGACAACTTAAGGTACTCTTTCCCCCATCCTAGGAAAACCCCTTTTCACCAATATATGTGTTCCAAATTTCAGGACTCATTTCATTCCTTCCATATTTGAAGACTAATTCTAACACCGCTTTCCTCGCCAAACAGGTCCTAAATGTGTCTATGTATGGATGAAAACATTATTAACATTAAACAGACAGAACAGTAACTAGTTATCTTGTGTTACATCTACAAATGCAAACAGAATAGGTTGGGAATCAGAATTTAATCCATCATGATCAATGCAAAACAAGTAAAGATGATTGATGTTGAAGGCCATAGAACAATAGAGGTTGGAGTCAGATCAGAATTAATATACGCAAACAAGAAAAGAGCAATTTCCTTCACTGATGTTACTCATCGCGAAAACTATAATGCAAGCCCAATAAATGTACCTTTACGGTGCTTCTTCAAAGCTGCACAATGGAAAACCCTTTATGGAAAGAAAGCAAAGTGATAAATAGCTACTAAATTCAAAATAGTCTAATACATCATAGCAGAAAAAAGATGCAATGTGTTAATTGGTCTTGATATTCATAACCCACCATAACTCCAATATGAGATAGAAAAACACTACCGTGCCCAAGCATCCTGATGTCTAAATGAATTAGGCAAGGTCAATCTATCATCACTCATCAGGATATCAGAAACTTGATTATGGCAGTAAATTACACATTCCTAGTTTGTATATTCTAATTAAATTCAATTCAGATACAAGTGACTTAGCAACAAGGAAATTTAATATCACCTCTCTGAGTTCATTTATGTCGGTTTCAAATCCCTCCCTTTGGTTGGTTTGGGACTACAAGAACTTGGGAACCTTACGCTTTTCAGATTCAAGATGGCATAACGAAAAATGAGTGAAACAGCTTAACAAATAACAATGTATCACAATTTCACTATTGAAGCCCATAATCAATATTTCAGAATTTCTCATTTAAAATATTAAAATTAAACTGGAAGGTAAAAGTTGAATGGACCGCTAATCATGAACATCTGACCTCAGTGAAAGCAAGATTGACCAGGTAGGAAAGAAACTGTCCACCAGTAATCATTAGAACATTGGTGCTCACGAGTCCTCCCCGAATTTCAGATGGTGATGATTCAGCGATGTATACAGGAGCGGTGACAGATGCCACACCAACCCCAAGACCAACCAAGAGTCTTCCAAGTATAAGAACATATGGATCTGGAGCTGCAGCCATAACAATGGCTCCCAGAGTAAAAACAACGTCTGCAGAGAGAGTAGCTTTCTTCCGTCCATAAGCATCATTAATCCAGCCTCCTGTGGCAGCTCCAATCATAGCTCCAACCAAAGCCATGCTGACAATAGTTTCCTGCCAAAGCATTGATCCATTACATGAAAATAAAAAAGATAAACAACTTCATAAGTACTAATCTTATGCAGTCAGTTTATAAGGGTTGATGACACCGAAACTCAGTGGTTGGCAGGTTAGATTTCTATGCCTGTATTTGGTAGATGTGATATTTGATTATTGTTGAAATTGCAATTACAGGCAGATAATGCAAAATTCTGAAACTGTTGATGATAGAATAGGCCTGATTTGGTTCTGATTGGGGACTGGATGATGGCTACATCTATCCATTGTTCTCTGAGGAATGAAATTGATCAGAAAAATGCAAGTGAGTAGCTATGACTTAGAACAATCTTCTTAGGAAATGAATGTTCAATTGCTCATACTCTTCAAAAATGGAATTATGACTGTAGGCCTACCCATGACTGATGTCTAAGCACATTGAGTTATTCCCTAATAAAGTTTGCTCAACACAAGAAATGTGTCACCACAATAACTTTTCAAAACAAAGAATCATCTCGTGACCAACCAATTACAACATAATGAATTATTACATGAGCTTCTCTCACTCAAGTTCATTGATGATAAATTTTTTGGCAGAATGCTCCAACCAGGTCCAAACCTATGTACCAATGCTAACTTTGACCATAAACCTTAGACATCAAATAGATCAATTCTAAATGTTACAAATTACGGAGAACAAATGTGTAACAGAAAAGGTTTGACCAACACGGAAATAAAGCTGTGAAAAAAAGAAAAAAAACACTAATGATGGATTTAGATTTAAGTTTGTACATATAACTGCATCTGATTTAGACTTTTTTGATAAATCCATCATTTGGGCCTTCATTTCTATCTAGGTTGATCTTTTCTTGTTACACCTTTGTAAAGTCTAAACCAGATTTGTTTGATGTCAAAGATTTAGGACCAACCGGCCAAAGTGAGAAGACCCAAAGCTTTGAACCTGATTTGAGCATTTAGCCACAACTCTTTTATATTAAAAAATACAATTATCTCCTAAGTTTAAGAACTGGGTACAGTACAAGTAAAAAAGACTTGTCAAGTTATCATGTCAAAATTCTAAGCAATTAATTTTGTGTACCTGTAGGAAACTGCTTTGATTAACTTCCACAAATTCATCTTTAATGTACAAAAGTGCACCAGAAATTACTCCTGCAGGAAATTCGGTAGATTAGAGGCAAAATTAAGAAACCAACAATTGCACAGTGGCATTTCAAGGTTCCAGACTCTAAACATAGCTGTAGGCTTCAACTGTTAGCTGTATTAATGTATTGAAACCTCCTGATAATGATTTAATAGATATGATGTATAGGTGCTGTAATTACATGAACTGAGGATTAGTTGTTTTCTATATATAGCTACAACTGCTTTCAATTAAGAGACAGAGATATACACAATACTTAATATTTTCTCACATTATATCAGAGGAAACCACTTTTAGGCTTAAATAGTTCACTTCTAGGTGTGGATAGTAGTTTTCTTGCATGTTCAGTTGACTAGCAGTGGTTCATTGGATATGAGCCCACCACCAAACTAGACACCTCATCGCAAGTTGCAGCCGGAATATCACATCGTTGGAGCTCCTGTCACGCCCCGACCAATCCAAACAACACACTATAGTGTTTGTTCAGATTCATGCCAATCAATGGCATTGATGCCACCCACATCTTCAGTTCCCTCCGACAGCCTTGAACAGGCTTTTATGGCATCATATACCCCTACGTATCTCCTCATCTGCCACTGTTTGGAGTTCCGCCGAATACTACAGTACACTTGGTTGGGAATTTTACTATCAATCACGAGTTGTTTCAGTGGAGGTGTAGCTTAAAGGGGTAGGCACATATTTAAGCATAGAAGTATATTTCACTGTATGTCTTTAATTTAAAGTTTCTAGTTAGCTCCTTTATTTGATTTAGTTCTTACATGTAACCAGGCTTACATTTAAGAGATTGGTTTTTGACAAATTGTAAAGTGATGAGATGTGTAGGGAATGAACTACTTGTACTCAAATAAAGTTTATACTCTCTCACTAAAATCTCTAGAATTCAAATTGATATCAAAGCATTTATACAAACACACACAAAGTGCTTTAAGTTGTCTGCTGCGGCCATACCTCCTGTCACCAAAGTCAGGTGACCAGAGTACTTGGGAAGCACCGGCGACCTGCACCAGTAAAATCCCCTCCCTGTTTGATGGCAGAAGCGCCTTCGCTATCCACCTTTGGCCAAGCACATGAGGTGCATGCCTCATCCTGCACAGTTCTGTTTGCCAAAATTATCCACCAACAAACTCATTGGCTATATCTGGCTTCAGTACTTGTTTTGTTATCCATATTGAGGTCTATTTCTCTGTCACTTTGCTTCTTGTTGCCCATCTATGCTAAAGGAAAAAAGTTTTCCTTTTCTCTTCACTATGACACCATGCTCAGAATCTACTAGTGTTGAAACTAGCAATAAAATTGCTATCACTAGTCATGAGTCCAAAGGAAGAACTCTAAGGGGCTGTTTGTTTCAGCCTCTTAATGGTTCAGATGTCTGAATGGTTCAACACTTAATGGTTCAGACTGTTTGTTTCAGCCTCTTAATGGTTCAGATGTCTGAATGGTTAAGAGATTTGCTTCTGAATGGTTAAGTATTATACAGAGTCTGAATGGTTAAGACCTCTTATCTGAATTGATCAGACATTTGCCTCTGAATAGTTAAGCAATATACTAGCTCTTAATGGTTCAGACCTCTTACTGGTTCAGCACTTAATGGTTCAGACCTCTTA